TTTATTTACTAGAGAATACCTAATGCCTTTTAGCTTTGGCATTAATATTTTTTTAATATTTCAAAATTGAGTATAAAAATATATAACATAAGTAATATTTTATGATTTTAATGAAAATAAGCTTCTTCATTAGTTATGAGTATTAGTTATGTTTAAAGGGTTAGCCATTAATATTCTCAGTGCTAAATATAAAAGTGGTCTAACCTCCCTAAGTCTCATCTTACATTTATTTAATTGTTGTGAAACTAAATTTGATGAAAAAGATATTATAAGCATGATTTTTATGGATTCAATTTATTAAAACTAAGAGTTTAAACATTAATTTCTTACAACCATGACAAATTTTGTGAAACACATTGGTTGTTCTCTCATCTTACTCAAAGCATTCCATTGATTAAAAATATTGTCAAGTGAACTAATCACACTCGCAGATTCTTCAAACTCAATATTAATGATTGTTCTAATGACCCCAAGAAAGGGTGAAATTATTACGTGCAGTCACCGGACGGTCCGTATTTCAATCAGGATGCGTCACATCACCAACATATTGTGTACTGCTATGTATCAAATGATGTGGCGCGTCCTGATTGACCTTTGAACCGTCCGATGACCGCATGTAATAATTTCATCATAAATGTTGCTTTCTGGAAGCAATGAGAGATTATTTAGATAAAGTAGCATTGCTTTATAAATACTTGTCATAACTTCTACTATCAATGATGAATTTATGTGGTCCTTTGTGGGATTAAAATATTGTCTAACTACTGTACATTATCAACATTTGCATTAAAGTTGATGCAAACATCATTGTTCACTATATTTAAAAATATGCTTCATGCAAATAGAGTACTTTTAGCATTAAGTGCAAGGTTGAGGACTTTCTTGCCAATTTTAATTATGATTTTTCTCATATCTATAAGGAAGTCAATCAATCCACAAATTTTCTAGTTAATTTGGGGCTTAAGTGTAAAGACTAAAAGCTTATGCGAAAGAATCCAAATGAGGGTATTTTATGGTATTACAAAGGCTTGACAAACGATATTACCATTATGTTATGAGCTGAGTGTTTTGTTGGCTCAATTTTATTTTTCTTTTGACTTTGATCTTTGCTATACAATTGATTCATGTGTTCTATAATTTAGATTTTGTTTGGGACGGCTAATTTCTTACTGCTTCTTAAAGCAGCTTTTTAGTATAAAATTTTAATTTTTATACTAGAAAGCTGCTTTAAGAAGCAGTAAGAAAGCCGTTTCAAACAAAGTCTTAATGATGATGTGGATTGAGTTTCTACTCTCTTGATTAGTTTTTTATTCATTTGGTTTGATTTTCATGTGTTTATTTTTCAGCTCTTTGTGTGTGGCATGGCCTTCATCATATTTACCTTTTAGATGTGTTGTTCAAAATATTTGGTTTTCTCAACCACCGTACTTTGGTTAATTTGATCAGGCTATTGAGTTCTCTTAATTGTTTGTTATGATAATTCTTTAGGTTTAGATTATGTTAAAATTTCTTTAAGGGAGCTTCTATTTTGTTTAATCTTGATGCTTCAATGATGCTCGATATACAATTTTTTTTAATATTGTGACTACCTTATCTTTGATACCCTTATGGCTTAATCTCATGAAGTTGATGGTAGTTTTGTTTGTATTATCTTTATTTCTTGACTTTTGGGGGCTTCTTTTATTGATATAACATGGTAGTTAGTGCTCATTGTGCAATGAAGATCAGTTTATCATTCTTAGAAAGCCATTATTATCACAACAAATTTTAAGCCATTATCACCATTTGTTAGTGGTTCAGTTCTTGATGTGCTTCAATTCATTGAACCTGTATTTTTTTTTTTTTTGTGAACGGGGGTATAGACCGCTGCCACTCCAAAGAGAGCGCTTGGCGGCGTAACTAATCCCTCGGCGGAACCTAATGAGGCCACCCATCGGCATCAGGCCCACACTTGCTTTGCCTCACTGAAGAGGCGAGACCGTAGTTGGGGGAATTTGAATCGGGATGGGGGGTTCCCAACCGTGCTCGCCCATCAACCACCCTAAGCCTCTGTGGATAACTTGCAAAATATATTCTAAAACCAGAGAAGTAAAACACAGACCAATTGGAAAATTTATAAAAAGGGAGTTAATTGATGATGATAACACATCATTTTAAAATATTAAGTGCTTATTATTTATTACCGTAAGCTTCGTTTGGAACAACTTTTCTATTACTTTCTAAAACATCTTTCTATCACAAAAATTTTCAATTCAAAAAATTTTTGTACTAAAAAAATTATTTAAAAAAGCAATAAAAAAATCGTCTCAAACGAAGCCTGAAACTCTGATGCTGACTCCTTCAACTACCCCACTGCTGAAATCATTGTGACCACAATTAGCAGATAATATCCCCATCTAAGAGATTGAGCACAGCAAGAAACCATTAATGTAAAAGATTTCTATAGAAAGTCAGCTGAGCAAGTCTTCAACTTGCAGAAAAATAAATGATGCTGAGATCTACAAGTTCATCATTTCAGTAACTGCATTAAATTAATCAGATTTTTTAATCAGAAATGCTAACATATTAAAAGCTTTCAATGTGAACAAACCAATATGTCAATTTTTTAGCTGTTTATTGACAATGATATGAAGGGCTGCAATCAAAAGTTGAAACTTGAAAAAAAAAAAAAAACTGTTCATTTATGTTATTAAATGAAAGTGGCCAAAAGGTAAATAGGGAAGAGTAAAATTTCAAATGAAGATGCACAAATATATTATAAATTGAATTTCAAGCATAAATTTGTGATAGTTTTATTTAAAGAGAAATTATTTTTTAATCAAGGGCTTTAATTTTAAGGAGCCCAGCAACTGTGATTAGAAATTAATAAGATTTAATGATAATATTTTTCTTTTATTATATGATCCGAGAAAATAGAGCTCAATTTTTTTGATAATTTTAAGTATTTCGAAAATTTGTTGGCCTCGATTGCATCATAATTTTATTTGAATATGTATAGTAAATTTTTAGTAAAAGAATTTCTAATTAAAAAAAAAATTACATTAAAAAACTATCTAAACAAAGCCTGAATTAATCCATTTGTATTTATTAAAACTCTCTAAGTATTTGTAAGGTTTTGATCCTTTAATCTTAACTTTAATGTGCAATAAATAATTGGTACTAAATCATCACTTTATGAAAAAAAAGCACTTCTTTAAAGATTTTTTTTATGATTGAAATTAATAAAAGCAGATAACTAAACCCTAAACTAAAGGTAACAAAATAATTAGGGTTTGTTAAGCTTCTTTATCAAAGTAGAATACTAAAAAAACCTGAAAAAAAAAAAAAAAATTTTTTGAAGAATGACTTGACTTAACTGGCCTGCTGATATCATCACACCATCTTTTTTGATCAATTAGAAGCTTCAAGAAGAAGTTGATGATGAGTGTAGCTAAGAGCTTTTGGAGGATGAACAAGTTAGGTTTTATTTATTATTATTATTATTATTGTTGGCTCAAAATTAAAACAATAATTATTTCAGTTAAGAAACACTTGATTCTTACTCAAAATTAACTTCAAATCAATTCAAAATTATTATTTTTATTTGGAGGATTGTTAGTTTCAAGAAGAGGTTGATGATGAGTACAGCTAAGGAATAATTATTACGTCCGGTGATCGGACGTAGCTCTACGTGCGGTCACCACTGAGTTACTCGGTATTTGCTCGGTATTGCTAGGTATTTCTTGGCAATAACGAGAAATACCGCTCTGTGAAGACCAATATCGAGCAATACAGAATTTTTCTAAAAAAAACTCGGTATTGTTTTGTATTGCTCGGTATTTGTCTTCATATAATAGTATTTCTAGTTATTGCCGAGCAAAATTGACAAATACGTGATTTTGTGCATGCTACGTGGCGCGATCTCAGTGCCGGCTGAACGTTGCTCTACGTCTGTTCACCAGACCAAATAAAAGTTTGCAGCTAAAAGCTTTTGGAGGATGAACAAGTTAGGTTTTATTTATTTATTATTATCATTGGCTCAAAATTATAACAATAATTATTTTAGTTGAGAAACATTTGATTCTAACTCAAAATTAACTTCAAATTAATTCAAAATTATTATTTATATTAGGAGGATTATTTTATTCATCAATATTTTAATATAAAATCTACAAAGGTAAATAAATAAGCAAATTCCATTGGAATACGCCCATTTTTCTCTTGAACACAATTATTTATTTTGTTCTACGAAATTCAAGATATTATTAAGTGCAGTCACCATACGTAGAAAGTACGTTCGTACTCCACAGAAAGTATGACGCGTAAACTAAGTATTACTATGTATTACTAGGTATTACTATTTATTTAGTTGTGCATTAACTAGTACACAACAATACACATATACTACACACCAACATATAACAATACGCAGCTTGTGCATTGTTGTGTATTGGTGTGTATTAGGTGCATATTGTTGTATACTGACTAATACACAGTAATACATAACTAAATACACAGTAATACCTAGGAATACACTAGTCCACACATTATATTTTCATTAGAGTACGGACGAGCTCTACGTCCGGTATCCGCACATAATAATTTCTCCAAAAGTTCAACCACATACATGAAACCATGGATTCTTAACAAGGAACATATTTATGCACCCTCAGCAAATACAATTTGATACTCAATTGGATCCAAACCCTTCTCCAATACAAAAACCCATTCAATTTGCAGTCAGTATGCATCCATGTTACATAGAAAGCATCACAGCTAGCTAAAGTACCAATTTAAGAAGAATGAACATTATCATTAGCCCCATGAACAGAAACATCTATTGACTGAGAAAATATAAGTTTCCAAACATCCAAACAGCAACGCAAGGATAAAGAAACAAGTCAGTGATTATTTAAATCAAAACTAAGCCCATCTGTAGAATGAATGGCTCACTGTTTCAGAGCCCTTGAAGGAAAAAAGAAAAAAAAGTACTACAAAACCCAGTGTTTTCCTACTAAATATTTTTTTTTCGGTGATTTTGCTGCTAAACAATGTCTTGTTCCTTTGAAAATGTGATTGAAAACAAACTTTACAACATCCTACTAAGTGATTTGATGAGCATCTTCATATTCTGCCTGGTAGCCTCATCACTGGTGAAAACTGAGATGTCTGAACTAATACTCTGCAAGAATACAAGCAAAATACAGTTAACTGCACTAAGTTTTGGGTTTGCATGAGATTATCAGCAGAGGACAGGAAATTATTGTACCTCGAGATTTCTTAATGTGTACACGAGGGTGAAGATAGCTCGGCGAAAAATTTCAACATTCTCTGGAGTTAGAATTGAAGAGCGCAATCCTCTAACAAACAAGTAGAGGGCAAAAAGATAATCTCATTTGCATGAATAAAAGACTCCAATAAACTAGCAAATATTGCTTGAAAAAAGAAGGTTTTTTCTTATTGGTGATCACTGATGAACTAAAAATGGTACTCAGTAAAAGGAACACTCATTTAACATGTCAAGTTATCTGAAGAGACTCTTTGTTGGAAGTCTGGGCAATGTGTATTGAATTTCAATGTCAGTCTATAAGACCTGCTTAACAAAATATCATGTTCACAAATCATTTTGAATTTGAAATACATATTGAAAGTGTGCTTACTAGCAGATCTTCTCTAAAGGCCTGTCTACAAGTAGGATTTAATAAATCATATAAATTCAAATTTAGGTCTCATTTGGGACGGTTTTCTTACTGCTTTATAAAGCAACTTTTTAGTATAAATTTTTTTAATTTTTGAACTAAAAAGCTGCTTTAAGAAGCAGTAAAAAAGCCGCCCCAAATGAAGCCTTAGTAAATTCTGAGGTAGTTAAATCTTAAAAACTGTTTGGCATCATAGAGGTAAATTCAGTCAAATATCGATAACTATTTGACTACTTATTTCAAAATTTAAGTCTGGTAGTTCAAATAAAATTTTAATAATTATAATAGATGATAAGTTAAAACAAGTTGCACAACTAAAACAAGGAGCAATCATAAACAAGCTGGCCAACAATAATTTTAATTTATTGGATTGATTATTAAAGTTGTTTGGATACTTATTTTAGAACTTAAGAATTTATATGAATGTAGCATCTAATTAATTAGCAATTTATTAAGCTATTTGAAATAATTTATATTTAGTCAAATTAACTCATAATAGTACTAAATTACTTAAGTTTATATTGGTAAGAAATTAATAATAATTATTAAGATTAATTTATTTTTATCTAATTTACATGATTGAATTTTCTTAATTCAAATTCATAATTATTTATCAACACTAATTTACTAATTAATTCATACTTAGCATGTATTAATATCCTAATTAATAATTAATCAAGAAATTATTAAACTAATTAAATAAAAGAAATTCTATAAAATAAAATTAAATCTCAAATAATATCAATTGATTTATTAAAATTGAAAATCTAAAGGTATACGTTAATGTAATCAAATTAAAATATAAATTAATAATATAACTTTTATATTTACTTATTATTTACCTTCTACCCTAATTCTCGAAATCCATCTTGCTACCAAACCTAAATTTGTGATGGGAAAGCTCGCTAGGGTGAGGTATGATCAATGGGACCTGCTACATGTATGTAAAGGAGAAGAGGAGTCCTCATCTTGTACCCTCTCCCCCTACGCACTTATCCTAGGCTGTCGACAAGAAGTAATAGACAAAAAAGAAGTGCGGAAGTCACGCGACGAAAGCTCACCGCCAAACGAATGTAACCTTCATCTTTCCCCCACACTTTAGTTCACTAAATCTTATAAATCCACCAAACTCACAGATTTACTTAAGTTCAAAATTTAAGGCAAAACGGAGAAAAAATGGGATTTAAGATACACTAGATTTAAAGTTGCCTTTTGATTGTTTGGTAAAATTTTGGTTAAATCATACTTAAATCCTGCTACCAAGCCCCTCAAGGCTTCTAGTGTTAATTTTCAAGAATCTTGAGCGTCAAAGTGCTTGCCTCCTTGAGTTTACTCCTAGTGCTTGAGTTGTTTTCATCAACTCATAAGGAATTCTGGTTTTTACTATTTTACATTTATTCTACTTGTGTTATTGTTGCTGTCCAATTTTCAATTTTGTTTAAAACTTGGAGATATATGCCCCTACATACGAGTGATGTATTATAAGAGTCAGAGTCAGCCACTTGAAATTTGGCTTATGTACAAAACTTATTAAATCTGAGGAAGATGAAGGATCCCAAAACTTTTTGCCCTTGCTGAAGTCTTGCACAAGTACTTTATATTTCCCAAGGAGTTGGGAGTCAAAAGACATCCACTTCAATGCTCACAAACTCATTAGGTACAAAAAGATATTGGGTCAATGAGAATCTAGTTCACCATAATGTTGTTGCTCCCTACCATGGCATAAAGAGGGCAATTACATTGGACATTGGTGGGACTTTGGGAGGAGAGCATTGTTAGACCGGTCCATACGGGACCAGCTCAGGCGTAACAAGCGGAACTTCTCCACCTCCTATACACGCCGATCAAACCGCCAAGGCCAACCGAGCTGTTTAGGAAGAATTTTTTAAGGAGTTATGAGGGAAATTTCAAAGTAGGGGCTGTTTAGAGATTTCCTTCTGAATTTTATGTATAAAGTAGTATGTTTTGCTGAGGTTAGGGCATATTAAATTTGGCTGAAATTTGAGATCTCTCTTAGGTTTTGGGCTCTAGCGGCGTCTAGGGAATTGGGAGAGATAGATCATCCTCTCGAATAGAGAATCAATTGTATCTTGGTATTTTACGTTTCCATTTCATCAAATAATACAAATTATCTACTGTTTTCCTAGTTTAGTGTGGGTTTTTGCAGAAAATTCTCGCTATTTTTCAAAGATTGATAGGAATTAATTGAGATCTACAAGTATTTCCTATCAAATTAACAAGCGTTTCCTTTCAGACTATTAACAAAATGTTAGAAAAGTATAGCATTTATACTTCAAGTGTTCTCACACACCACCGTAAAATAGGCAAAATACCATATTGGGTTGCCCTTGATATAAAACTATGGAATTTTGGCACGGGTAATCCTTTAGGATAGATATAAATCATAGAATGCTGGATATACATGAACCTTGCCCACTAGCTTCAATTTTTTATTCTAAAACAATAACTTTTGTAATGAACTTAATGCTTTGAAGATGACAAGGTTGAAATGCATATGGAATTTTGTTTTTCTGATAGAATGACATAAAATTAAATGTTGGAGAGATGAAGATGCTCAGGTGGATGAGTAGTTTTACACTTAGATACGAAATGTGAAATGATTATATGCATGAAAAGGTTGGAGTAGCTCCAGTGAAAGATAAGATTAGAGAGAGTCGCCTTAGATAGTTTTGTTACATAAAAGGTCAGTCTTTCGTTGACCATGTTAGGAGAGTAGATGTTTGGATCCGATCTATGTGAAGAAAGGTAAAGAAAGATCTAAAAAGACTTGGTTAGAAAGTATTAAAAAAGATCATTTTTATTAAATTTAAAATAAGAATTTGACTCTTAATAAGACACAATGGAAAAAAAGGATTCATGTAGCCGATCCCACAAGTGGGATAGAGGTTTTTTGTTGTTCTTATTGTTGCTGGTAGGTTGGCATTTTTTTTAAGTTTAATTTGCATGCCAATTATTATGATAGCCCTGTATCACATGATATTGAAGAACTAAGACAGTGCCAAGAATTTTTCTTAGTAGAGACATAAAATGACAATTTTAAAAATATATTTTTCCTTTTTCATCTAGGATTGGGACGGACATTAGTGGTGTTAAATAAATTTGTTAGAGTTATAATATAACATGACAAAATATATGTTAAAAAAAAGTTGCAATTAAGAGAAGCACCTACAATTTCTCTCTCCAAGTCTTCATATTTTAATATCTTTATATAATCATTTTATTATCAACACTATTAAATGTCTTTTCTAACATATTAAATTAGATAATCATTCATTTAAGAATCTTCCATATGATTGTGTAAGTGATTCGACATTTGCTTCATGCTTGCTCTTAAAGTATATGTCCATATGTAATTATAATAATGATTTTTTAAAAATTAGTTAGATACTAATTAGCAAATATATTTATAAATAATTTTACCTCATCTCATGTTTTACTTCAAATATTTTGAACTGAGTTATTAGTTATTTAAGGCTAACAAATATATAACTTATCTGCTTTACTGTTTGGAATCAAAGCTTAACAATAATTCCTTTTTAATAAACATCGTTTTTTCGGCGGTTACAAAATTCTTGTCGTATCTGCTTCTTCGGTCACAAAACGGAGTTTCGGTCACAAAATGTCTTTTATAATAAAATCTCAAAAGCAGAACTCCTAAACAAACAATTTAAAATTACTTTCAAGTATTAATAAGCACTTTTAAAAATATTAGTCAAACATATCTCATTATTGAAACTCCATTTTATTGAACGGATTTTTCTCAACCTCCTTTTCTAAAACTCCTTTTTATGTAAGCATAAACCGAATCAAACGAAGCCTGCTTCAAGATTATTGGCAAGATGTTATGTTTCATAGTTTTATTTGTGCATAAAATATTCTTAGCATCTGAAATGACTTGAGCTAAAATATACTTAATGACAAATTTGACTTAAAATATCTGAAATAACACAAATTATATATTTAAAGTATTGGCCCATAACACATTTAGAAATGTTATTATTCTATTAAAACAAATATTCAACTACATGTCAAAATGCTTATCCCTACAAACATTAAATGTCCACATATCCCTACTCCTATAAAACAAATCCATCAAAACCCTAAAATGATACCACTCCTCTTCCTTTCTTCCCTTCTGCTCGCTGCCTCCCTATCACTCTCTATCGTCACTATCATTGTCGATGGCATCTTCGATAGCAGTTTGAGTGAACCAAACGACGTCGCACGGCAATCAATCAAGAATGTGAGCAACCCGCCCACATTGTAGATTTCAAAATTCACGATGGATGAACACAACAAGAATTTGCAATGGAATGCAAAAGTTTTGGGCAAGCCAGTAGAAGCATGGGCTCCATTGCCCCCACTGTATCTACAATCTTGCTACTGACACATATCTTCATTTTTACTATCCAACATTAATTTTAAAAGTTATACAAATCACTCTTCTTTTATATAATAGATCTAAGAATCATAAACATATCACATATAAGATCAATTTAACTTCTAATAATAATGATTAATAATCGTTAATATCAAATCCATGAAAATTGCATTTCATAGACTTAATATTTGTTCTATTAATTCTTAGCCCCTTATCTTCTAAATTTTTTTTCATTATTCTAACTTTTCACTTTTCTTAGCTAATGCATCACTGATTAAAATTATGTCATCTAAAAAAGACATACACCAAGGAACTTTACTTTGAATATATTTTGTAAGCATTTTCATAACTAATATAAAAAAATATAGATTTAATGTTGATCTTTAATATAATCCTACTATAATTCAAAGCTCTTTGACCGCCCTAAATTATTTCCAATAATAATTAGTGCTCCATTATATATATATATATATATATAATTGTTATACAACACAACTTTTTTCTTATTTCCAACCAAATCAACCATCGTAGTTAAAATCATATGATCTACTTTATATATATCTCATTAATTGTTTTAACACAAAAAATAACATTCATAATCAATTTTGATGGCATTAAACAAAATTTATTCTCCAAATTCAAGGAATAGCACATTCTACCAAAACCAACTAAAAACTATAAGCATGAACTAACATTGTATTATGCTTAACTTGAAGTACTGATCAAAATTACCTTAATTCCTCTGTTGTTTCTGCTAGACTTTTGGTTAAGACTTCAACATCCTTCAGGACAGCACTATCACGGATCTCAGCAAGTAATGGTTGAATATCTTCAGCTAAGAGTTCAACCTTTTGCATAACAATAACAAAAAAGGAGATTAAAATGATTTCATAAGAAGCATGCAGCTTATCGACACACTTATTAAAATTTAATCTTGTTCTAAAGCTAGGGCAAATTTTTAATAAAAGAATGACAAGATATAACAGTACACAAAACTACGAAGGTTAAGAAGCACAATTACTCGAGTTTTAGTTGCATTGCCTTGGCTATATTACTCTTTCAAGATAGAAACCTCTCCCAATGGAAATACATTTTCAAGATTTCACCTCCTAAAGCCTGCAATGCGTCACATTTCCATTGCACTACTCACAAAATTTTCATCCAGAGAAGAAAGACAGGAACGAAGGAAAGGAGGGATAAACAAACTAAAACTTAAATACTGCAACTCAGCAGGAAAGTCAAGGGCAGCAAGTGAAGAGCGAGTTTAAAAGCTGCATACTTTACCAAGATACAAACTTCATTTTTTTTTTAAAATCATCATACAAATGGAAATTCATCCAAAAAGTTTATAAATGGCACTTGCATCTATTTTGGCACTTTAGCAAATACAATATGCCAATTATATGATGCATCTTACCATGTAAGATTCAATTGCATTTAATGGTACCTATTTTTCTTAATAATCCCAAAATATATAAATCATAGGAGAACATAAGAAAATAAAAAATGACAATTTAGTCAACTGAAATCCTACAATCCAAGAATTAGATGTCTCAACAAATACACAAGATTTTGACAAACATCATCTTAATGACCATTTCCGGCATAAATAGTTATCAAGGAGCATCTAATTATGGCCAAAAACAAACCTTCGCAATTAGAGGCTGTGCTTCCTGTACAATAGATGCAACTTTTTCAGCCAACATGTAACTTCTTCTGACGCCAATTTCCTCCATTTCTCGTCCAAGACGGGTGAATATCCCTACTAAAGCATCCAAGCTTACTCCTTGTTGCCCTTTAATTTTTTCTTTATCACATACAATGAGACCTTCTTTAAGGCAACCAGGATCAAGAGGTCCAACCGAAGGTGTTGGCAGAGGATCCTGAGGTGTTATGTCAATTAGTGTCTCCATAAGCAAGCCAGATTGGTTGACCTCAACAACAGAATTTCTAGGTATAATAGTTTTAACATCCTCAACCTGCCAAAAGTAGAAGATAAGCTGCAACATTTCAGCAATTAGAAATAAAAAATCTTAAGGAATCTCCATAAGGCATGTTAGGAAACAGTCAGCCGATGCCAATAGAAATATATGCAACTAGCCTTGCCCTACATAAAACGGAAGAGTGAACTTCTAAAACCACAAGATTTGTCAAACTATATAATATGGAAAATCGGTGGTGAGCACTACATCAGCCACGAGTTTTAAAAGCTTCCTAAAAGACCTACAACGTCACCGACATGGTAAGTTCAATAGAAGTCACTTCATAGCCCTTATAATAAAAAGAAGACTATATTTAAAATCACCGCATGGATGAAACTATCAAAGCAAGAATAAAAAAATAGAGAGTTCTGATTTGAAATGGTGTACAACTAAGCCATCATGAAGTCGCCTGTACTGCCCCCGCACACAGCCACATAGCACAAGGAAAAGCCTAATAACAAATAAAAGCAAATAAAAAGAGCAAATAAAAAGAGACTTGAAATTTTATTTTTTTAATCAATAAGTATCTAGAAAGAGAAATTTTCTTTGCCATATGATTTTTAGTTGAGCTAACAACTTCTCCATTAAAAATACCACCAGCTGATCATAAACGAGCAATTTCTTAACTTAAGTAACCATGTAACCTAGTTGACCAATCAGAGAAAGGTGGAAGGCCAATCTACTCACAAGACATGTAATAGGCAATTCCTACTTACAAAGAAAATCAAATGGCTCAAAAGAAATATATTGAAACCTGTAAAATACACACTATAATGACATAGGATGGACTTGTGCTCTCAATCAATTAACTGATCTGTAATCCCTAAAGCAAGTCCGCGTCCCCACCCCACCCCACCCCACCCCGCCCTTCATATCAAGAACATGCAATTGTGCTCATCTGAGTGTTTAACTATGCCTCCTCCTCCCCCTCCCCCTTCGAAAGAAACATCACATAGCCAAAATGCAAGAGTCCTCCCTTTTCCCCTTTATAAATACCCAACCATAGCCTTTTCTCCTATATAAATACCCCAACTATAGAGACAAGGGGGTGGAGGTGATTATTGTTAGAGCTCTAAAGATTTTGCTACAAGCTTCCTTAACAGCATCTTGGTATCTTCAGCCACCAAATTTTATATATTCCTTATCTCTAAGAAAGAAGACACAGAAAGGTTAGTGGAACAAAAAAGTGGAGGTTTGAAGATTTGTATGCTTGTAATTATTTTCAACACTCGTATATTTGAGCAGACCATGCTAGCATTCTCTATTTATAAAAGAAATTTTCTCATCTAAGGAAATAGAAAATAGAATAACAATCAAAGAGATTATAAGGAATATTTCACATATAATATATCTTTTATGAAAGGGTCCTCTAAAAAAATAAGAGTTCTTTTACAATAAGTTACACTTGCAAGAAAGAATCCACAAGTAAAACATTTTCTATCACAACATTATCACAAATTAATCTAAATTATGTAGTGACGACAAGCTTATTCTGATAACAAGTTGGATAGCTAAGTATTGCATAACCTCACCTACGGTGCGAAAAGCTCTTCCCTAAAGAGTTGAAAGGATGAACAAATGTCCATGGAGTAGCAATGGCGGGATACTCATGTAACTCACTCAATACACCAATAAGCAAATAGGCACAATTGTCTCAAAGAAGTGATGGAGATTAATGGCAATAGTGGCAATAAGAATTGAACCTATAATATTGATGATGGAGCTAGCAGTGGTATAAAGAACTAAGCAACATGCTATACCTCCATCTCAAGATCAAATGGAATAATATCAATAAATAATGCAACTCACATTCAATAACATTCTTAAGCACAATCTCATGCTTAAGCTCAAGTATCATCTAAGACTCAATCTTTGTTGTTAATTATCTAAGACTCAATCTTTGTTGTTAGATCAAGTTCCACATTGAGCATAAGATCAGGCTCTAGCATGACTACCATCTCAAGCTGGTTATTGTGCACTACATGGGTTGGTGGAGATAATGGGATTTGTGAAACTATATGAAGCTTATGATATTGAACAAGGCAGTTGGTAAGTGGAATTTATGGGAGGGGAGCAGTGTCTCACGATGTAATATAACAAATGAGCTTGTGTCATGAATTGGTTGCAAGAGAAGATCAAGGAGAGCAGAGAACATAATGTGATTTGATATAATGGTTATAAGGATGATGTGAGGACATCCATTATTTAGATAATCATGACATCAATTGACTCTTTTTTTCAGTTAAGGTTATTGAATTAATTTTAAAAAGATACACTAATTAAACCCCTCCCCCTCTCCCTCCCCCCTTCTTGAGTGTGCCACACACTCCACTCTTTTTAGAGAAAAAAAGGGGAGAGAGTGAGAGAAAGAGATATAGGGAGAAATAGATATAAAAAGAAAGAGATATAGGGAGAAATAGATATAGAAAAAAAGAGGATAGCAAACTATAATTATTCAGCTAGTAACTAAATATAAGAGCGCACAAAATAAAAATACATGTTGTCCTAGTTGATCACCAACACTTTCTTGACTTTATTCATGATAATGCATATCCTATCGATGTAGTGTGAGGAGCAAAATACATTATACATAATAGAAGTGCATTTCCAGGAAGCCTTGGAGGTGCTTGACCACAGAAAACGACAATTTATGATCATTGGGATGTGCTACTACATAATGGGGATCAACTATATGTACCAAAGGATACTAATTGCTTGACTTAGACTTAGATAAGAAAGCACATGCACTTCAAGGGTGGTAGGGCACTTCAAAGTGGAGAAAAATCACAAAACAAATGATGAGTTGTGTTCATTGGCCAACAATGCACTAGAAAGTGCAACAATTTGTGAGAAGATGCCTTCTTATAGCATTGTAAAGCCATCAAACTAAAAAGTAGACTAAAACCAACACACCTTTTAGATTCATTTCAATGGACATCATGAAATTGACTTTTCGCAAAGACTAACTATGAATTAACAAGGATTTAATTACCTCTTACATATCGACATTGTTGATAATTACAACAAGATGGTGAGTTTAATTACTCACAAAAAGGCTATCATAAATAACAAAGCAACAAAGTTTTTCTTTCAACATGTATCAAAGCACTTCAGACTGCCCATTCCCATTGTTTCAGGCAAGGACATCATATTCCTCATCACTTTCTAGAGATCACTATAAAACCTAATAGACATGAAATTGAAAAAGGGGGCATTAGCTTTCACACGTAGAGTCAGACTGTCGATCTGATAGACATGGTGAACAGGACAATGATGCAAATGTCGCAAGGTTATAATTCTTAGCATCTAATGACACGAGATGACAACATCCATTATAAATACCTTTCCTTCAATAGATTCATACATGAATCAATGGGAAAGTTTCCTTTTAAGGTGTTCCTAAGTTTTCAACTATAAAGTTTGTTAAAACTAGATTTCTCCATATATATGAAAAATATTGATAGTGAAGCGTACGAAGTTCAATGAAGGCAATAATTTATAGGAAGGATTCAGAAGATTCGTTAGGAGGTGGAGGAGAACCTCAAAAGGTTGAAGGAGAAATACAAAGTTTTCCATGACAAACATTACATCATGTGCACATTCCAAGAAGAAGACTTGCTTTGGTTGCATTTAGGGAAATATATGAAAATATGCAAGTCCCAGAAAATCAAGTCAATCTTGTTATGGGTCATTATGAATGCTTCAATTGAACAACAACAATGCATTCTGGATGGACATGTCTCCCTACATAAAAATAGACTATGTAATTAGTCCTGAGAAGTGAGAAACTAAAGCTATTCGAGCTTTCATAGTTCGACAACGATTGGACCTACATTCCTAAATATTTGGCTAACATCAAAATTTCATCAAAACAATGCATCAATGTCATTTTATAATGTTTTTTTTATTTAAATATGTCAACAACAACAAAAATTGGTCAACATGTTTTAACAATATAACATAATATAGAAGATATCAATGAACTAAACAATGCCTAAAATATTTATAAGACCTCATGCAAAATGGTATCTGCTTAAAGTAAGTACCTCAACAACTGCATCAATGCTTTTTAAAGAAGAGTTGACATGAACAACCTTCCCAACAGTCACACCTCTTATCCTAACCGGTGTTCCCACGCAGAGTCCACAAGCTTGGGAGAACTCAAATACCGCTTGATATTTCCTCAACTGTGATCTCAAATGAAATCCCCTCAACCACGCAAGACTTAGAACAACAAGAGTCACCCCGGACACAACAAAGAGACCAACACCACCTTCCCAAATGCTCCTCTGACCAAACCCAAAATTACTGAGTGGCTGCAATGTTTGCCTCCATATAACTTGCGGGACTTCAAGAATTGACACCAGGGGATTCCTTCTTTTCGAAGGAGGATGATTTTGGCTTCCATCTACAACCCTTGCATTTACTTGAACTACTTTTCTTAAAGATTTCGTTAGAAGATAAGAAACTGGCTTTTGAAAACTGCTGCAAGGCGCAACCAGTGGAGAGCCAAGCATCCCATTCGAGTTTGAGGTTTGAATCCACGTACCGGAAATCAACATAACTCAAAAATCTTTGAGCGCCACTAACAACTAAAGAATAGAGTGCATTAATTAGCTAATTGAAATCCTGCAGCAAAATAAATGAACGATTCAAAATACTGGTTCAACTTTTCAAACGTATAAAAGTTTTTTTTTGTTTTCAATATGCAATTTAGTTTCGAGAAGCCAGAAGAGCCAAAATAAAGCAAAAACGGAAGCCTAAGATGACCATAAACTAAGCAAACCAAACAAGAAATTCGCAAACCCTAGAAACCAAGCAAGAACTAGCACTCACCAGCAACAGCACTGATCCCACCATGATTAGCCCAAATCACAGAAGGATGTTGCATAAAACAAAAGTAGGTAAACGAAGTCCAACTCAAAAAAGCAAAAGCTACATCGATTTCTCAAAGAAATCAAACAAACTGCAGAAAGAAATTCCCAGAGAATTCATCAGATACTACTCTATTGGATTCTGATATCTGCTCGAATGAAATACAATAGAGTGATTTTCAACAATTGGGGATGAGCTCCGGGAAGAAACCGAGATTCTCGGCGACGCAAGATTCCAGGAAAGCGGGATGAGCTGGGTTCAAGGTGGTTCACTGTACATGGAAGTCCAAAGGCCGAGAACTAAAGCCCAACCCATCGCTGGAAATTAGCACGATGTACTACATAGTTAAATTTAAAGTTAAAAGTGTCTTTGAATGCACTTTCCTTTTTTATATTTACTTATTAATGTAATTTAAATTATTTTTTTAACATATCTAATTCAATTTTTTAAATTTTATCAACTAATTATTTATAATATAAAATATACATTATTATCATGATGTATCATTCTAATTGTCATCCCCTATTTATATTCTCTCTTTTAATTTGATTGTTTGTTTAAATTAATTAGTAATTAATTCCTTAAATACAATTATTGATGTATATCTAATATTCAAAAGTTGAATAAATAATAAGAAATTTATGCTAATATTGGATAATCCATATTTTTTAAGTCACTAAAAGGAATAAGAAAATAGTCATGTTTAGATAATTATAGAGGAAATAAGGTGCTTTAAGTTAAATAAATAGTTTGAGAAATTTTAATAGGTATTACTAAAAAATATAGCTAAAAATATATAAATTCCAACTTAAAATATTTAATAAATTTAGATAAATGTGAAAATAGATACAAACCGTAAACAAAAAAAAAAAAAGTTTAGTCGATACAATCAAGCTATAAATCTTATTATGTATTTCCTTCTCGTCGTTCCTCATCATTCATTGTGTTTTGTATCTCTCCCATAATATGGAGTCGATATTTAGGATCTCTATCTTATTTTAATGTCTTCTTTATTATATTGATAAATGGGAGTGTTAATTTAGGTTGGTAGCCTAGTGGGTCAAGTTCAAGTCTGACTCAAAAAGTTGACCCAGATTGAATAATTTTGACTCAAACCTGATATGTTTATCATACCATTCAAAATATTTAACATAAACTCGACAACCCAAACTCAACATGTTTATCATATAGATCCTATAATTTTTTACATCAACATGCCTTTTTTAACTCAAGAATGGTCTGCTTAACCTAAAAATGGCATATTTAACACAAACATATCCCACTTAACGTTAATCTAAATGAAAATCAGGTTAATTTTGAGTTTTTGAGTCAACTTGAGCATGACTAAAATTTTAATAGGGTAAAGATTTTTTAATCAAAATCGACATGAAAATTAATTGAGTCAAACCAATTTTGGATTTGTTGAGTTTGGTTCGAGTAGAGTTATTGGGTTAGGACATTTATTGACACCATCATTAAGAAAATATATGGTTTTTCTTGGTCGCACATGGCCAAGCTATAAGTTTATTTCAACATCTCTTCCACATTAAGAATATACTTGAGCTTTTTTGGTCACACATGATAAAGTTATAAGTCTCATTTAACATCTCATTTATCACATTGAGAATATATATAGACTTTCTTAGTCACACACAATCAAATTGTTCTTAGTCTCACTTTGTGAATAATTTCTCTAATATATTGAGGAGATGTCCAAATCTTTCATATTTGTCCTTTTTTTTACCACATTGAGAAGATATTTGGTTATTCATGATCCCACATGACCAGGTTATAAGTCCCATCTTGGGTTGACATCTCTGTCATGTTAAATTAGCTTTACTAGCCTTGATATGTGCCACCGTGTGATACTTTAAATTAGATTTGGATTTCTCCCTTATATGATAGTGGATTACAGTTCTCAACTATTAATCTTTGTATCTGATTATTTTGATGTCTATTTTAGTATTAGATATGCAACCTTGATGAAATTCAAGATTTTGTTTTGCATTGGAAAACCCGATTTTAGAGTCGGCGATTTATAATGGAGGACATGGCTCACATGAATTACAAATTCCTTTAATCAATAGGGCTATTACAAAAATCTATAATGCCTATTTATACGCTTTAATATAAGTGTGATTACTTGCAAATCAACATAACGTAAAACATGACCAGTACACAACAATGAGAAAAGTTAGGATATGAAATAAAAAAAAAAGAGAGAAAATTTAGGATTGGTTAAATATGAATATTGAATAGCATTTATAATTTTTGAATTTTTTTTTTTTAATTTAGTCTTGCAAGTTATATAATTATTTGCTTATAACATATAATACAAACATTAATATTTTTCATATATACCTTGCATTTGATTAATAGTTTATAACATATTAGTTAAATATTGATATATTTTGTAAAAAATTATTAGTTAAACTCAATTAGAAGCCCTATGCTCATTTTATTTTTTTAATCTGGTGATAGAAATTTGATATGAAAGTAGAGAAAATATATTAATATAGTGAAAAAATTATTATGTGCGACGCATCTGGATGCGCCACGTCACCAAATACATAGTGCATTAGGTGACGTGGTCGTCCACATTGGCCTCTAGACACGTCTAGACTCCACATGTAATAATCTCTTGATATGATGACACCAAATCCAAGGCATTTATCAATGCTTCTTCCAACCGTATTACTTCCTCTATCTTTGTTATAAATATAAATAAAAATTTAAGTGAATTTCCTACATTATTTGAGTAAAATCATTCATATTCTCCAATTTGAATCATTAATTAAATGATCGTAATAATTGTCGTTGATTACTACATTACATTAATAAAATAGATTAAATAAATACCTTAATTCAATACAATAAACTCAATCGACAATAAGAAAATGATATCCACATATCATAGACAAAAATGTAAGAGCAAGCGATGCTTTATTAAATAAATTTTATGTGATTAGTCTTACATTTCATATCACTTAACAAATTAATTTTCTTATATTATATTAAGAGGTTTAAAAATATTATGCAATTTTATCATTAAAATGAAGTCTAATTTTTTTAGTATTATCATTAATAAAAAAATCTATCAATACTAGTAAACTTATAAAATAAATCTATTATTTCATAAATAATATGCTTAAATAACTTCTTGTTTATATCATCTATTGGGTAAGCATCACTCTCCCTCGCCGCTCGATCATTTTGCTACCCCTGAATTGCCTAAGGGCATTCGGGGTTGCAAAATTTTCAACCACATTCAGGGTTTGTTTGGAACAGCTTTATTACTGCTTATTGAATCAACTTTTTAGCTCAAAAATTATTTTTTTTGTCCTAGGAAGCTGTTTTAAGAAGCAGTAAGAAAGCCGTCGCAAACTAATTCTTAGTTTTATTAAGACTTCATTTAGAATATTTTTTTATTAATTTCTAAATAAAATTTTTAGCACAAATAAATATTTATTTTAAGTAATAAAAAAGCTATCCCAAATAGTACAAAACCTCACCAAAATTTATACTTAGAAAAATGCTTTAGAAAGCAGTTAAAAAGCTGATCCAAACAACGTATTAAATAATTAAGAAGATGCGTAAGAAGTTGATAAGGTATGAAAAGACAGCAATCATCACCGTAATAGCTCAAATTAGTATATTTAAACAGATAACTTTACCAACACACCGCTACTTAGATTTAATAAAAATAACTTCACTATAAACTAAAAGAATCGACCCAAAATCAAACCCTTCTCTTTGGCGAATTATTGCGTCCGGTCACCTCACGTCCGGACAACCAATCCAGATGCGTCACATCAACCCGATGTATTTTGCTAACGTGGCATGTCTGGATTAGTATCCGGACGAATCCGGACACCCAATATTTTGCCCTCCCCTTTACGCGTCATACTTGCAATTTCCATAACCTGCAAAATAAAAAAATAAAATATTATAAAAGAAAATAATCTAATTTTAAGCAAAACAAAAAATATTTAAAATTAAATAAATTACAATTTCATTAATATAAAGAGAGAGAGAGAGATTATAATTATTTTTCAAAATAATTCATACCATTAAAAATTGCAAGCTAGAAATCATAGAGTCAAAAGGCACGAAAATACTCACTGGGGTTTTTGGTTACAATAACGCCGGTCCGCCCGAAGTCGCAGTTGAAGACGTGGCGGCCGGCGAACTGGTAGTAGGCGTTCATAGCATAGTTTGCGTGGGCTTGAGCGGTATTGGGATCGAAGCACGGCCCGCCCGCCTGAATGGGCCGGCAATCGACGCCCGCCGTACTGCAGGCGTAGTCAATGTTCGCCTGTAAAGCCGCCTCAGTCGCACCACCGGCCGCCACGCACCACTTCGACGCCGCCGTTGGCGCCGGTGTGGGTCCACCGCCCTGACAACGCTTATCGTTAGTCATTCCATTGACGTTACCATTCTTCAAAGCCGCGTAAAGCGACCAAAACTTTTGTAGAATGACAAAATTATCCATCACGAAATCGAAATAAAGTAAGCATGGCTGACACGGGAGGAATATGTAGATTTGCATCAGCACCGTCTGATGAGGATCGGACGGAGAGAATGATTTGGCTTTTCAAATCCAAAATGACGTTGGGTTTGAATTTGGCATCTAGAAAAAGCGAAATAGACAAGCAAGGAGGGGAAACAAAGCACGTGAGGCTCACGAGTCGGTAAGGCCAACAAAGCCCACGAAGGTGATACGAAATCACAATCCTGCCACTCCAGCCTTCACTCATTATACAGTTGTACGTGCCACGAGTTAGTGGCATTTCCGTTATAATTTTGAAAAAGAATGGCAGATTAATAAATTACTCACCTGGCTGCCACCGCGGAGGACGCCGACGTCGTACACCGGGGAGAAATCCGGCCGGAAGAGGCCGAAGTTGCGCTCGGCGGTGGGACCCGGCTTCAAGTCCTCGTTGAAAAGGGAGAAAACATAGGTCTCGAAAGTTCGATTGGGCATCAACGGCGTTCCTTTCCCGGAGGTCACGTGCTGGATGAGTTGCCCATTATACGACGCGGCGTCCTCGACGTTGATGCCGACCTGCCCTGGATCGCCGGCAGACGGCCATCCGCTCTCACCGACGGCGATCTGGACATCGCCGTACCCGAGGCGGCTCATCGCCGAGAAAACAGCGTCCATCTGAGCGTCAAACATGTTTGTATAGTTGATTCGGGTCACAGGGTCGAAGAACCCGGGGTTGGGCTTAAAGAGTGCGTAGTTCAGAGTCCGACTCGAGTAGCCAAAGTAAGGATAAGGATTAACGACGAAGGGTGTTTTAGATTTGCGGTGGAAATCGAGCATTGGGGCGAAGATTACACGGTCGTAGCCGCGGCGGAAGCGGCCGGAGGATGGGGGTTCAGAGGCGGATAGGATGCCGAGAGAGTGCGGGGTGGAAACGCGGATTTGGTGGAACCCGGCGGCTGAGAGGGCGGCTGAGAGGGAGCGGAGGGCGGGGACGAGGTGGGCGATGAGGTTGCGGTCGGCCGTGGCGAGGATTTCGTTGCCAACGGCGATAAGGGAGATGTTGGTGGCGGGATAGAAGGGGGAGATGTTGTTGGCGACCCAGGATGTCGCACCGGGGAGGCGGGATAGGGAGGGGATGTCGGAGTTAGCGGCCGTGATGATTAGGGCGATGCCAGTTCCTGCAAAAGCCCGGATCATATCGGGGTTGGAGTCGAAGAGCTTCACTCGATCGATGAAGGTGCGGTCTTTTAGGAATGCGGCCACTTGCGCCGGGGGCGGGAGGTTGTCGGCTAGAGCACCGTAGTTTACGCCGATGGAGAAGGCGTTTGAGGACAAAGGATAGTTGAGGAGAAGCATAGGAAGGATGAGGGCGAAGAGAGGCGTGGGAGAGTTGCATAGGTTTTTTGCCATGGCTGGGCCTTGGGACGGAGAGGAAGATTGAGAAGGGATGAGGGAGGGACTGAGGAGATTTAATTTGAAGAGGGGAAATGTGGGCTGGGGATTGGAGAAGTCAAAACGAGGACAGGACACTCATTTTAAGGCAGAGATTGAACGGTGGGATGGTAGTCTTGAGGGAGAAGATGAATCGCATATCATCAGCGTTTGATTAAACTTGTGTGAAAGCGCTTTGAGGGCAAGGGCGGAGCAAAATTTTTTTCACGTGGGTATAAAAAAAAATTCTCAACTTTTTTCGTGGAGACTTAGAACCGTATAAAATTTAATTTTTTTTTTTAAATAATCATACTCACTATAAAAGGATAAAATATACGGAAAAAAAAACTAACAATTGAGAATATTAAATTTTAATATTCTTCTTGTTGCGTCCTAGAATATTCGCGGCGGTAGAGAAATATATGATTTAACGTCTTAGCAATGTACGAAGATCTAGCACACAAGCAGATAAGTGAAAGGGTGTAGCATTCATAAGAGACACCAGAGTTTTTACGTGGAAAACCCCTGAAAGGGAGGAAAAACCACAGGGACTGGCCCAGTTTGGAACTATGCTCAGGCCGATATTTTCTACAGTGCTGATCGGCCTGGACGATGTGTACAAAAAATCACCTGGAACAAAACTGGGCAAAATCTGGAGCAAAACTTACAACTGATCGTCCCAGGACGATCCAGATCGTCCTGGACGATCCTGGAGCAGATTTTTGATATTACAAGAAGCCCCTGCTAGTTCCACTTTGCGAGCAAGAAACTCCACGAAGAACTTTCGTGGGACTCTTCTGTTGTTTCTGGAACCAGCACTTCTGATCCAATTGAGAACTCCCTTATCCAACAGAATCAAGAAGATATGGCACGCCTGGTCCACATTTTCTAGCGCCCAAAACAGTCCAGTCGTATCTTCTTCCTCCCCACTTGTCGCCGGTCTCCCTCAAACAAGCAGATTCCGCTCCACTTGCTTTAGCTTGCGGACAAAATGTGCACTCGAACCCACACGAACAAGCGTGACGTCAGCTTCCCTCTTCACGTGAACATCCCGCACACCGAACCAAGATCCAACGGCTTTCCTTCTTGCGTTACCGGAAACCACCGTCCGTTCTCCCTTCGCCGAGCCGAAGTCGCCTCCTATCGCGACACCCGCTACCTGCCGCCGAGACCACCTCCTTCCGTTTCTTTAGACAAGAAACTGGCCTCTGCCTCCTCCACCTTGAGATCGCCACCACCGTGGCTCTAATACCAGATGTGAGATCCCTCACTTGAGGAAGAAGCACTTCCTCATGGATCTTGCAAGAGGAGGAGGAGGGAGAGAGGAGAGGGAGGAGGCGGTGAGCCAAAAAACTATGCAAATCTTTATTTCCTTTGGCTGCATTCCCTAATACAAGCTATACCCTATTAAAAGGCTCCTACAAGCTATACAAATAGCTACACAAAAGCAAACCTAAATCTAGGACTAATACCTAACAGGTATAAAAAAAATTCTCAACTTTTTTCGTGGAGACTTAGAACCGTATACAATTTAATTTTTTTTTTAATTATCATACTCATTATAAAAGGATAAAATATAAGAAAAAAAAAACTAACAATTGAGAATATTAACTTTTGATATTCTACTTACATATTATCTATTATTTCTCTTGTTGAACCTTCCTTTTTTTAAATCATTCTTCCCTTTTAGAAATCATTGTATACTCATTTTTTTATCAATATTATTAAATATATATTTTTCAATATAACATGTAGGAGTCTATAATATGATTGTGTATTTGCACAATCATTTTTCTAGCCTCTGATTTCTTCTAACTTATCTTTCCCAAAGAAAGCATTCAAGACATCAATCTGTTACTTAATTTATAAAAATTTTCGAATGCATCAAAATTTTGATATCAAACAACAAACATTCAGACAAAATCAATTGATTAGTTTTTAGAAATGATTGAGTAATTGTTTTAAACTATTTTAACAATACCATGTATGAACAAACGATTGCAGCCTAAGGTAATTACATTGGTTACATTTAATTAAATTCCAAGCACTTAATCTATTGATTCCATTAAAAAATTAACCCCATATTGAAACTTTATATCATAGTTACCAAAATGGCACGATATGCTAATAGGAACTTAATTGCTTGAAGTGCTTGCATATTAGAGAAATAAGAAGAAACTTTGTAGTTCAAAGAAAACCATTTTTCTTGCTTTTTAGATATGCAATATCTGCTGTAGCTTGTAGAGTCACGGGGAGAGAGCTGCCGTCGCCAGCTGCAGCCCATGAAGGTGAAGTGCCGTTGTGTGGGAGTTCGGAGAAGAAAGAAGGGGGTTGAGACTTGAGAGAGAGAGAGAGATGTCGTCACCAACCGCCGGCTCATGAAGGTGAAGTGTGGCTGTGTGGGCGTTCAAAGAAGAAAGAAGATGGGCGTTTCACATTCAGACTGTGTGCTCGTCAAAGTAAAGCCCTTCCGCCCTCGGTTTGTGTCCGTGCGTGTATGAAAAAGTTGGTCGGGATTGAGGAAGCCAAAACAAAAAAACAAAAAATTGAGGGATTGACACAAATATCATTTTATTTTATGTTATTTACATATCTAACTTCTAAAACATTAATATTACATATCTACCATTCATAGAATAAATTTGGATACATTGAATGAAATATTAAAGTTTTATAGGATGGTATGAATAATATAAATGAATTATAAAAGTGATATATTTTATATTAAAGTTGTATATAAGTGGTAGACATATAATATTAATGTATTGAATGTTAGAAATGTAAATATCATGAAATAAAGTGGTATATATGTAAATTTCTAAAAAAATAATAATTCACATTAGGTGGTAATTAAAAGCTATAAATTACTTTAGTTAAGCAATAACTACAGCCAGTGGGGCCGTGCCTAGGCCAAGCATAAATCCGTCCTGTTTGACGAGAAATTATTACGCGAGATCATTTGACCATTCAGATGCCAATCAAAATATGTCACGTCATCCGGCACACAACGATTCACATCATCGGTTCACTGCAAAATGGTGAAGTGACTCATCCCAATTCGTCTCCAGACGACGTTCAATAATCGCACGTAATAATTTTTTTTTTGAGAGTTGTGTGAATGGGCTAAATGATATTTTTAAAACATCTATTGTGAAGTAATAGAAATGGATGAGTTCGGATGCAGTGAATTTTATTTTCTATGAACCTTGGTTGTATTTGTATAGGATGTATGCTATGAGTTATCATAATGCGCATAAAGAGGCATGCTACATGGATTTATTTGTACTTTTGTGGGTAAATGATTTATTTATACATTGAATAAGCTGAAATGAATTTCTATATCCTTAACAATTTTGGCATAAGAATAAGGTTTTAAAAATAGGACCGGCCGCCAAACCAAAAAATTGATACTAAATTTTAAAAAGTATCGGTTAAAAATCAAATGGAGTTTAATCATTGATTTTAAATTCAAATGTCCACATTGCTATTAAACTTAAAGTGTGTATGTGTGTGCGTGCGCATCTTATCAAGTATATGAGGGTGAATTAATGGGCTTTTCTTAAAATAAAGGTCATGGTGTATACCTTAATGTTACGTACTCTTTAATCGATTGACCGAATATGCCTATAAGCATGTAGAGAGTGATGACTCTTTATTGATAGATCAATTAGATTGATTATTGATGGACATATTATTAGATTCATGGATGACATACATAATTGATAGATATGACAGATCGATGTCAAATGATAAATAAGATAAATAAATGACAGAATGGTATTATTAATGGCTGAATGATTGATTGAATGATATCATACACATGATTGATACATAGCTAAATTGGTTCTGATATGATATGTGATACGATAAATAAGACTGATAGAAGAGTAAATAATATATATGTTTACACTGTATGTTATTTTATTATTGTGCATTGACTTCAATTGTAAATATTGGTATCTTGTTAGCTTTTATGCTCATTATGTGATTTTTAAATATTTTTAGGCAAGGATAAGTGTCCTATGAAGTGAGGTTTTGGACAATGTGCTTACTTTTTCATTATGCACTTATTAGTTATTCTTTAATAGTCATGATGTATAGTAGCGATGGATAAATTTATTTTATATCAAGACTATTGTACATATGTTATTTTGGACTAGTATAAAATTATAAATATCATATAAAAGCATTTATATTTTCTGCTATTTATATTTTGTTATTTATATGAAAATAATTAGCTATGGTAAATGTTTAGAAAAATATAAAATTAAATTAAATTAAGTGAAAAAGAAATTTAATTCTTCTAATTTAGCTTCTATGGCATTATAATCTCTATCTCTGATTTTAATTTCAACCAGTTTATAAAATGATATGAATAAAAAAGTATTTTCTCAAGTTTTATGAATTTTTCATCGTGTGACATTTTATATATTATTGTGCTCTTTATTATAGATATGTTGGCTATATAAAATTGACTTTTCAAATGTTAGTTTTTCCTACATAAAATTTTAAATATATTATTGAATTGAGGTTTTTCTAACAAAGGCAGTATTTATATTAATGTTTTAAAATTTTCATGCGAATATTTTTTTGAAGATAAAAATTGAAAAAAAAAAATTGTGAGTATCCTATTTTACAAACAATGTGCATTTTACTGGCAAATTCTACATCATTTGAACATTGCATTAGAAGTTTAATTCATTTACTATTACATTATTGATGGGGGCAGTGGAGTAAACTTTAGAATTTTGAAATGCTTTAGAGCTCTATCAATCCCTAGCGATGTTTAGATTTTCTTTTACGTAAAAATTATAAAATCCCCACTTAATATACCCAAGTATACATTCCGAATCAAATAATACAGTGATAGAGTAGAATAACGATCTCATGCGAAAGATATGCAATTACTTGCAATTCACTAGTATTGTCTACTAAAACTACAATAATTATTATACTCAAATAAAAATAGTTGTCATGGGATTCAATCACTTAAATAAAATTAGATAAAGATAATGAATACATTATAGGGATATAATGTTTTGGATTGATGAATGTAAATAATATATTTTTTATAATGATGATATTAAGAGCATATGTATTCTTAGATCTCAAACTTGTAGGAACAAAGGATGTTTATCTATTTCTTGTTATTATTTCATTGATCTCCTTAAGAATGTAGTATGTTTCATACCCTATGCCTAGGCATGACACATACTAATTCAATATTCATG